AATCACATACGCCTCTGGACAGATCATGTCTCCTCAGACACCACGGCGCCGTCCTGTCAAAATTGATTGATGAACTCTGAAGCAACCGCGGGTCGGCATCAGATCAAAGGCGACGGCACAACTTTCGCTACACTCAAGTGCTGGGAATTCTGTCTTACTGACGACGTCACGAAATTAAGGCTGAGATACGGCCTTTTTAGCTTTCGTCCGGTCCCCAAGATCCGCTACCGTTTTAGGTCTGCAACTTGGAAACGCTGGAAACACTGTTTGAAATGCCGTTATAACACAGGGAGTCCATTGTGCGTCGTGCTTTGTTTTGTCCCGTCGAAAGTTCTCACCGAATAAAAGTTACAACCAAGCCTTTGGAAATACTAGCTTGGTAACAAAATCACCCATTTTCAAAAAGAATAAAATCAAACAAGATACCCTTTTAACATATGATTAACTTTGTGTATGTTTTCTATTTTATACAAATGTAAAGGTGCGTGGAATAAACTGCACGATGCGAGGAGGAATACTGCGTGCTGATTCTTCCGAAGTTTTCAGAGTATTATCATTGATAATACTAGTACATGTAGTTGTTGCCGGCGATATTTTGTCCTAACACAACTTGTTCTTACTAACATACTAGTAGTGTGGAGATAACTGCATTGTGTTTATACATATGCATTCTGTTGAGGTCTGTTGTACTAGATACCATCAGGCATATTATTTTTAGCTTACTATATATCGATTCCTGATCGATATGGCCGTGGCGTCAAACGACTTGAATATGTTTCGTCATTGAAAACATCTTTTAATTTTATAAGTCGCAGGTTACAGCTTGTTGAAAAATGCTTGCAAAATGGTAACTTTTAATAGTCGAAATTGAACATAAACCAGAACAAACAGGCCAAAACAAACAAGACGGCAAGACAAGGCCACCTCCTGGAAAGACCAAACGGTAAGTATAGCTTTCCTCCGACGATCGATACTCGTATCTGCGCACCTCACGGTAAAAACATTTGTGGCCATTCGGACACACGCAGGGGGGCTACAGGGAAATACTTCTTGATCCCGTTTCAAAATGACAGTCTGTTTGATTATGGAGGTTTGATAAATGAAGAACTACAACTTAATACAAGATTTTTTTCATCAAACTTTCAAAGTTCGACAAAAAATAGACCTTCGTGTGAACCGTGAGTAAAATCATGTACGAAATCGCAAAGTCTTATATATCCTAACAACAAATGTTTGTTACTATTACCATCATGGTCATCCCTTGATGGCCCACTAAAGTGCAACACTTTTAGAAAACCCGTAATTTATTCATCATTGATATGCACAGTGAAAGCTGCAGGCCCATTGTCGCGATGATGCAAATGCGACATTCCCTTGCGTGTGAATTGGTGGATGAATGATTTTGTCCTCGAACCTACAAAAAAAAGAAAAGAATCCGATCAGACATGAGGCTTCAAAACAGAAACTATATCCTAGTTTTACTTGGACGGAGCTGCGCGACGGAGCTAATAAACATTTCATCCGCTCTTTTCTAGTCCTAAAACGGAATTTGATACAATATATAATCTAGAAGACTGGTAGGTTAACCTAATTGTTGTGTCTGTTTTTTTAGAAGGATATCGAAATTTTCTACCTATATTAGTCCCGGTAAGGTTTGTACTTCGAATAAAAGCCAACGGACAGTCGCTAGTTAGTTTGTAACATTACCAACATGATTTGACAGGCAGTTTTAGAACCTCACTGCAAGTCAATCAAACAAAGATCGAAATTTGCTACATCCCACAATATAAATATTGCATACGGATATTCGTGTTTTAGAAATCCCCCATTATAATTATTGCATGTATACGTTCTCCGATGAAATGTCTGTACCCGCCACGGTATTGCAGCATTCGTACAGATTGCATCTGTAGCTGCTTTGTAATCTTTCTTTACACAATTCCTACGTCGGAACAAGTTTAATTTCATTTAGTTTGTTCATAAACTTCTTTGTCCGTTCGACCACTTCACGTAGTTCCGCAAAGCCTTAGCTGAGTGTAAAGAAGTTCCACCGGCAGCGCAGAACGTCACAACTCACAACACGCCCGCCGGCCCTCCTTTGTGTCAAACGAGCCGCTTGTGTCAATCAAATCTAGCGGCGCTTGGCCTTTGAAACACGTACATGTACTATCGGCATTCTGTGAGTAAAATGTTGACGTGGGGTGATTTGAAAAATAAACCACTTTTTGTTGGTCCCTTGAATTTTTTACATTGACTCATTATGAATCCCAGCGTACAGCGTAGCCGCCAACTTCTCGTCGATCACGACAACTTTTCTTTTGGGAGAAAGCCACTAAAACCGGAATATAAATGCTTCTGTAGCGGCCAGATTGGGCTCCAGATATTTTCTGGGAGATATTACCCGGGACTTTGTCGTAAAAATGAGCCAAAACTGTGGCAGAAGAAAAGCCGACATGGCGTCGCTGCAGGCGGAAGAAGAGGTCATTTGGGGTTAACGGAAGGTCTCATTGTGTCATGGGGAAAACTGTCTAACATTGTTACCGATTTCTTGCTTTTATTAAGGTAAATCGACATCGGCAAATAAAATCCGGTAGCTAGAAGTCTTAGATTTTATATTAATTGCCTAGTTTGGTATATTTTGTTTTAATTTAGAGCTTTGAGGAGTCCGTATTTTGACGATGCACCACCCCATGACAATGGGACATGCAGACAAATTTATGGACGCTTGGCGAAGCAAGGCTCTAGATGCCGCGTAAATACGAAAATTTGACCGCAGTTTACATTTAAAAAAAAATGACTTTGAACCGAGAATAACTGATGACCGATCGTCAGTTGTTTTACCGACAAAATTAGTGGCGTATGCACGTTCTGTTTTGTGGGTTAACATAAGTTGGACGTCGGTAAAGTAAGCAGGACTGTCAGACCAAGGAGCTTTCAAAGTTGGAACAAAGAAAAGCGGCGCCGCGGGCTGTTCAGACGAGGACTGGAAGCGTGCACAGCGCGACGAACTGAGCGGCCGTCCTCTGGGCGGGACTCAATTAATTATCAAATAGACGCTAATTGGTTCTTAAGCACTAATTGTTAAAAACAATGGATAGTCTCTGTGGGTAGTCTCAACCTTAGGTGCGAAGAAAAGTTCGTAATAAGTACGCATCAAGAACGCTACTGTATCGCAACTGTATCGCTTCTCGGGAGGGCTAATCGCCACTGGAACGCTACTGAAACGCCTCCTTTGTTACTGTTTGTCCGTTAGCGTTAAAATAGCGTTTTTTGGCCCTACTAGTGCTAGATTGTGAGCATTGCCCCCAGGTCTAATTATAATGGGAAAAAATTGAGCTGTTTGTTTCTTTGTGCCTTTATGTATACTTGAGTGTGTACATGTATATGGGTACAGATTGCCCTGTGGTGGTCAAGTGTGCTGGTTAGGGCCCTGTTGTCAATATTAACAGTTTTCCAACATTGTCCATACAGTACCATCTATTATACAGCACCCTGTATAGGTACACTTGGGAGTATTTCTCGTGCAAAGCATCACACCGGAGTGAAATGCAACAAATGTGGAAGTAACTATGCCACTTCAGGGCAAAAAAGTCAGGGGTCAATGACCTAATTAAGACATGGAATTATTTAAAAATATTGTGTAAAAAATGTCAGCAAGACAAGGGTTAAGAAAAATCCTAATATTCTCTATGATTTCCTGTTTTTGACTCCCAGACCAGCCAACTTGCAGACATCTGTGAACGCCCTGACTGCTACGGGCTCGTCATTTGACGCAGCGGCTATCCAGAACAACTCCTCCACCACCATCCTAACTACCGTTAACGAGGCAGAGAAGCAGAAATTCTTGGAAGAGGAAAACAAAAGACTCAATGCATTAAAGGTTTGTGATTGCAAACCTTGTTTGATCAATAGATGGTTGTACGGATACGTTTCAGAAGATCTACTATGATACCAGGTTTCGTAGTGTATTTTTAAATTTTACTAGTTTTTTTTTACAAGACAAATTTTTATGACATTTTTTTCTTCACTATATACAGTTGACAATACACTTAAGTGTACATTGTGTATACCTGTATGTGAAGATCTGTCTTGTTATATAGGAGTGTTGGTGTAAAAGCTCCCAGAGACAGAACTTACAAACCATTGTCCATTTATATTAACAATTTGTACATCATTCTACATGTACATGTAACAGCTGAAGCACACATTTAACAATGTCACCTGAACACAACATGTCACTCATGCATATGCAGATCTGGACTAACAAAAACATCAAATTAAGGAAATTATTCCATTTGAAACTTTGTGCTTGCAGGAAAAAGAATTATTGTCTCATATTGTGTCAAAAAGGTTCTCTCGGAAAAATTGTGGATCCCTAAAAGTCAAAGCTATATGTGTCTACTTGAAAATAGTTGATGTATTTTTTTTAAACACAACTGACATACAAGCACTGTTTTTTCAGAAAAATGAATGAAAACAAACTGACACATAGAAATTGAAAGATTAAATGGGTTAATGAAGGCTGAATAGAATTTGACTGGAAAAAAAAAAAAGACAGCTTAAGTCCAGATCTGCGAGAACCTAACACAAACTCAGTCTGACTTGTCTTCACCCCAGGAGCAACGGCTGAAAGAAGCCAACCACGTTCAGGTCTCCGACTTTGGCCAGCCTACGGTAAGGCCTCAGGACACGGACTTTCCTAGCATAGAGCTCCAGCCATAATGTACAGCTCTGTGGCAACTCTCCAGGCATTTCTGTGTTGTTGTGTTGTCCTTTCTGTTTTGTCTTCTTCCAGGTTTTCCCGGGAGCTTTTTTTAGCCTGCTGTAGAAGTATTTAGTTGTTAATAATTAGTATAGTTTTGTGTTTGATTTTAACATTTCATCCTGTATTAATGCTTGTGTTCCCATATGTTTATAGGTCTTCATAGTATCATTTCCCATTTACTTAAAGACTGAGTTGAGTTTGACTTTCATTTTTTACAGGACACAGCTCTATTGCAATATCCACTGATGAGGGTGTACGTCCAGCCATTCGTTTAACATTATTTTATTTTATTCTATTTTTTAGGTTGGGACAGTCACAAAGTGTAACCCAATGCTTAATTTGTATAATACAAGGGTCTCCTGATTTGTACATTGATAAGTAATTGAAACGTACATTAATCATTAATCGACATACAATGAGCTAATAAGATGGCACCATATTTCAGAAACAGTTTTTAAGTCCTCATCATTAACAAAAGCCACAAAGTTGTATTCCTTGTATGAAATTTTACACAGAATTATTGAGGATGAAAAAAAATCACAGGGGCATATTCTGGTTTGTCTCATAATAATAATGTATTTATTATGATAAATACAGAGTGGAAAGATTAATTTCTGCTATTTTTACACAGTCAAACTCTGAGCTTTTTTGTATAAATGAAGTAGAGTGGAAACCTTTTCGCCAAACCGAATCAAATGCTTTGCTGAAATCTACAAAAACAGTCATAGAGTTATGCATTTCTGCTTAGATATTACTAGCTAAGGTGAACGATACAAATACATGTATATCTGAACTTTGTTGTGTTTTTTTTTTAGGAGCAGCGAATGAAGGAACTACAGAACCAGAGCCCCCAGCCGGCGCAGGTCGCCGCCTCCCCCCTCCCGCCACCTCCACCAACCCCTTCCTGACGGCCTCCCCCCAGACTGCCCCCCCTGCAGCCACCACACAACAGCTGGATCTGTTCTCACCCCCTCCTGCACAGGTAAATATAGAATGATGATGATGATAGCATGCGTAGTCCAGAGTTTAGCAACCCTGGTGGTTTCAGGTGGTGTAATGGTAGAGTGTTCGACTATAAAACGGGGAGACCTGGGTTCGATCGAGTTGTACCCAGGAACATGTCTGCACATGCGCCCCAACGTTTTGCCCTTGGGAAAGGCACTTTATACGACTTTCCTCACTCCACCCAGGTGTGAATGGGTACCTAACTTTGGCTGGGGAAAGTCGCATTGAGGTCACCTTGTGGCACCGAATGACAGCCGCACAGACCCTTGCGGCAGTTCCATAAAAATGTGTGGAGCAAATATGTTATATGTATCAAGTGTATTATGTGATTGTAGACCCTGCATCAATTCAGTGCTATTGAAGGCTGCGATTGCACGAGTAATATATTAATGTTTGACCAATAAAGATGGATTTTCACAATTCTCCCACAGAGCACTGCCGCTGCCGTCAAGCCATCAGATGACCTGCTGGCCCTCGACGTGAACCCATTCCAACAGATCCAGGCCACAATAGCCCAGCAGTCCATGGCCCAGCCCCAGATGAGCGCCGCTCCTCAGATGTGGGGCGCTCCTCCTGCCACAAATAACGGTAAACCAGTTAAAGAAGGATTATCATATAGCCATAAGATCTCAACCAATCAGAAGGCTCCATTTCCTATCACTTATCAGGTCGTAACCTCAAAGTGGTCGGTTATTAGAATAAAGCCTCCAGATCCGCCTCCAGAAAAGTGGTCGATTATTCTAATAACCGACCACTTTTCTGGAGGCGGATCCAGAGGCTTTATCATAATAATTATGTTAATGCCCCGCCTTATCCTCAGTGTATACACTCACTCAGTGGTTTGTTATCCCACCTGAATTATCTCACAATATACACCTCGGGGCGGGGCATTAACCCTTTATTGTAGTTATTTAGAAAATTTGCATGTGTTGGTAGTAGTCATTATTAAGCAAGTTAAAACTTATTTCTAACACAAAAAAGACGGGGGGCGTTACAGACATTCTACAACATAAATCTGATCCAAATGTCAAAGATGACGGATTGGACAAAATTTAAAAAAATTTTATCACATCTTCAGTGACAGCAGCTTAAACTAGTCTGATTATACATACCTAGGCTTGTCCAATTTAGAACATACAGTTATCCCTCCATGTTACAGTGCTGTTGAATTTTAGGCATCCTGTACTAAACTCACTTTACACATTTTGAACCCCTCCTCCCCCCCCACCCCCACCCCATCTTTAACAGTTGGTACTCAGAACTGGAATGGTGTAAACGGTGTCCAGGCTAACGGAGCGTTCCACCAACCACAGACGGACAGCAAGTGTAAGAACTTCACCGGATCTTAATCCTTCAACTATTATTTAATAATGATAATAATTATATTAATAACCACCACTCAACCATTTCTTCACCTTCTTCACCCTTAATATACATATACCTTCTCACATATTAGCTATCATTTCTGACTAACGTTAAAAAATGTAGTTTCCATGTTCAGGGCTCAAAATGCAGTTTGCACCCCCTCCATATGCAGGTGGTGCAGTAAAATTTGTCAGTTGGAGATACTTAAAATTTCAATGTCATGCAGAAGTAAGTATTTTGAGCCCTGAAATTTCAGGAAAAAGGTTTTCTTCTCTCAAGATGCATTGACACTGTTTTTTTGATAGACTATAATATTTTATTATTATATTAAAAGTACTTTTGCATGTGTTCTCTTGGGATTCAGGTTCTTTGGTGTACATTGTTATGTCAAGAATAAACTTGACGCACTAACCAAGCTTCCTCGACTTTCAGTTCTCAATGAAGAAATTATTACTCGTACATGTGTAGAGTTTCCGCATTGCTAACACTTTCATTTCAACTACACTAGTCATGTAGGTTGGCTTTACTGACATGCACATTTTTTTTCCAAGCCAAGCTTTGTTTATGTCACTGTACCTTTTTTTCCTGGACCTGATTAAAAATTGATTAAAAAAAAACAGCTTAAAATTGTATGGAAATCTGTAAAAACACTGTCAATCCTAAAGAACATAAATTGTAATAATTATGTCACATCTTTTTAGTTTATTAAAGTTAGAAGGATAAGTCATTGTATAAATTTATGTATCAGGCTTAAACATTTCTTGTAATGTCATGGCAATTTTGAAATGATGCTAAAGCTTGGGAAAAGGATCTTGCATGACAGAAAAATTATATATTACTTTTGACTTCTTGTTTCTTCTTTGTTCATAATGTATATGTTACTGTCAACAAATAGAGGCCATATGCTGTCTAATACATGTGTGTGTACTTAGGTGTTAGCAAATAATGCTTCTTAAGTAGTTATACTTTTATTTTCCTCTTGTTTTCTCTCTGCACCCTTTTTTTCACCCAGTTTCGGTAGTTTGGAGCACTACTTCTCAGCCGTCCACATCAGTGGACCCTTGGCCGGGTGTAGCTGAGTCAGACACTGGTAGGGGTAGGGGCTGTAGTCATAGTTGCTTAGGGCTTTGTAACTACATGTAGTGTAACAGTACATATCTTGATTGACTTCCCTCCCCACACGTTTTATGCTACGTTGTTTCTTGTGCAAAATTTGTGTAAAAATAATCGAGGTTAAATTGCAGTTGAAATTCGTGTAAAAGCAGTGTAACACGTGGTTGAAACCTATGGAAAGCTGTGTAAACTGCATGCAATCACTTGTGGCTCGTATCTATAACGCATAACCACATGCAATTGCATCTACATGTGTTTTACACAGGAAAGGAACACTGCATGACTTTTAATCACAATTTGTTTGCTAGTAGTTGGGAAATTATTCAAAATATGTACTGTACCTCTTCTTTTCATCTTGAAAGTGGTCTGCTGCCTATAGATTTATGTTTCAAAAAGTTGTCGATATTCGGCATAGTGTAAAGTCAGAAGATAACGACAAACTTTTGGAAAACTCTGAGTAAAGCCATGCATGTAGCAGCATATCACTTTCAAATGGTGGCATTGTAATTAGTAATAGAGTAGGCATAACAGTATAATATGTTACTTTGGTCTACTAACCCACAATCTGCACCCACAGTTCTGGTGACTGCATGGCATTCTCTGCACCACTCTACTGAAAATCATGCAAAATGTTGCTTGTAGATTTTAAGTTATTGCTTCTGCTGTTCATTGTAGTTTAACTCGTCTTTTCCTTATGTTTGATAATGTTCCTTGTGTTTGACAATGTTCACTGTACATGTAGATTGAATGATGCAGGTTTCAAGGTTTGAATGAATGGTTAATTCAAAACTAGATGCTTATTGAGGCAAAATGCAACAGAAAACTGACATGCTTGTGCTTGCTTATGTTAACTCTGATAAAGTATGATCACATTTTGACTTGAGCTTATTGTTTGATACTTAATGTTTTTCAGGGATGAATCCAGATTTCGGTTCAGCCTTTGGACAGAATGCTGGGCCCCAGCCTTCAGCACAGCCAGGTATATCAAACCTTCAATTTTTTCCCTATTGTCCCAGCATTGTCTCCAAAATAAATTTTAATTGTCCCAAAGTGAGGATGAACTGTCCCAACTGTTTTTTCAGAAAGTATTGCAGAGAAAGCAGTATGTACAATACCATTTTTTAAATCTTTGGTATGACTTGGTCAAGGATCAAACTCATGTACCATACCGAATGCAAGGCGAGCATTCTGCCCACTTGGCCATTGCACCAGCCGAAAGATGTAACATGAATATGATGTCACGATTTTTCAGCCGCATTTGATGGCCTTGGTGACCTCCTGACCCCGATGCCGGCCAGCACGACCGCCGCTGTGTCGTCATCTGCCCCCCAGCAGGGCAGCAAGCCGCTGATCGCAGGAGACCTGGACAGCAGTCTGGCACAGCTAGCAGGAAGTGAGTATGGAACAGCTGCTGTCATCTTAGGCCACACCAATTTAATTTGTTGGTTCTCGGATTCGCCTCTTCATTTTTTTCTGATTTGCAAAAAAAAAAAGATTCTGGTTCTGAATCAACTCAAAAATGCTCATATTTTGCCCCCAACAGTTGAGAAAAGTCCTTTTTCTTCCTAGTTGTTGCAGTGTTTCCATCTATCAATGCAGTGGTTTGATTAAAAGTTCAAAATTCATTGTTTAAATATTAACACAACCTTTTGTGTTGACTTCATGGCTCCTATCATAGCATTTGGGACTATAATAGGATGCCTAGACCTGTTTTTATTTTTATTTTTTTTCGCCCTGTCGCTTCATGTTTTTTCTGACAAAATCCGAGAACCAACAAATTAAATTGGTGTGGCCTTACCGGTTCAGACATTGTTATACTGTCCTACAGTGCCGTTCAAGAAACTTGAAATCTTTCGGAAATTTCCTCAGCGGCGCACCCACTGGGCATATGAAATGCGTTCAAATTATTCTATCGATATGGAAGCCCATGTGATATTGCTAGTTATCACATAGGTGGGAACATTTGATCCTGTATTTAACGTTATCGCGGTCCAGGTATGGCATAATGTGACATTATGATTGCATGTACATGTATGTATGAAGAGCAATGATATATCTAATGCTCTACCCACAGATCTCAACATTGGAACCAGTGGATTGAGCAAGAAGTGAGTCATTCCTGCTTAAATTTTTTTTTTAATATTTCATACCATGCATGTATTCATATGGTGGCGGACAGACTCTTGCGATTGGTTCTGCATTAGACAGAACTTAACAGTTAAATGCACACATTCTTCACTGTTGCACTTCAAAGCAATCTTGGAAGCCCACTGCTTACACATAATTATATAGTGTCCTCTAAGTTCAGGGCAGTAACGTAACGTCCTTGAAAACAGAAACCTCTAAAAGCATGTGATTTAGTTATTTTTCCTTTGATAGCTGACAAAGTTTCTATATGGCTCTCACTTTATTTACTAGCACTTATTGCATGACCCTTTCAAGAAAGCAGATATGTTCCTTTTTTTAGTCCAACCTAGAAGCATTAAAACATCCTTTGCCAGTTTTAGTTAATAATATGCAGGAAAAGGAGCCAGTGCTTGTCAAGTGCCTTTAAATGGCAGCATTTTTAAATATTCAACGGAAAATTTCAAATGCTTTTGTGTAATAAACAAAATACATTGTACCTGGTTGTACAATGTAACTGTAACTTGGGGCCATTTACAACCAATACTGATACCGTACTACAGTTCCCTCTGAAGAAAGGGTAAAATCTAGTCCAACTTGCGGTAAATTTAAAAGAGCTATGAAAAGCGTTCTTTTGCCATTGTCTCTGTCAGCATTTTGTACTTCTTTGTGACTGTGGAGTGGTTTTTTTACTAGTACTTGCTACACAGTGTCACCTTTCATATCACATTCTGAAGTGTTTCTGCCAAGAGTGTTGTTATTCCAGACTAACTGATTCAAAAACCACTGGTTCAAAGTACTTGAAAGCCTGGGCTTCCTGTCCTGAGTATAATCTGTCTGAAGCTGCTGTATTTTTTCAGTAATCATGATGTGTGTGTGTTTGACCTGATATATCTGACTGAGACTTTTCTTCCCACTATGCCTCTCCTCGTGTGGAACAATTAAACTCCAGATCTCCTTCGGAGCAATGGAGGAGCCCCTCTCCCACTGTTCAGAGGTAGATCGCGCTACAGACTAGTCATTTTTCACCCAGTAGAGGTGTCTAGATCTTCCCCCTATAGTTCATTTCATCCTCTCTTGCTGCTATCCGTGCCCCCTCCCCACTCACACATCTAAAGCATGCCCCAAACTTGCACACATGTTACAGTAACTTGAGTTGTAGTGCCTCATGTAGTGGCTGTGTTACTGAATGTAATGAAATCCAGGCATCTTCCTTTTAACATTGACTCAAAATTATCCACACGTTACCATAGTGCATCAAAGCCTTTTTTCGTTGACAAAGATTGAAATGGAACTAACGCTTGCTTGGATAATACAGGAATCTCAGCCTGTTTCATGCTGGATTTTTCTTGCAGTAGTTGTTAACTTTCCTTGCATTGCCTACTGTATATATATCGTACATGTACCCTCCTCCCAACACGTTGCACATACACCTTGGACCAAAAATGGTCATCATGGTTCAATAATTTACAAATAGTCAATCTTATACCCTGTGAGGTTTACGTATACACAGTATGAGTTTTAATGGCATCCAACTAAATTCATCCCACCATCATCTGCACTGTAATACACTAAATGAAATCCATTAGTACCACTAAATTAAATACATTAGTAACAATTAGCGTAGCATCTATGTGTCTGTTCACTCACTGGCACAATGTAGAGTAGTATAATTATTATGTAGACTTGAATTGAGTTCATGGTATACAGTTGTCATCCTGTCTCATTTTCGCCCAAGATGAGACTTCAACATTTCTTGTAACTCTTTGGTTTGGAACATGGCATTGTTAGAAACCGTAGTGTTTTGAAGACTTTGAAATATTTGAAAGCATTTTAAAATTCCAAAAAGGGAATCTGGCAAATAATCAGCACAAGTTCATGTTGAATAGGTGTTGCCATAAGCATGTACTTGTGTACAGAAATCATGTTGGTAAACGTGCAATATGCAAACACAGAACTAAGTGTGCTTGTTTTGAATGAAAAAAGGATTATTTTGTAGAAATAGTTTTTATTTTTACAATTTAAGCTTCCATATGGCTTGGTCATAAGACTTTTTCATCAACATACAAATGTATACTGTCAAATTTCAGCTCCCCAAACTTTACATTTGTGTGTAGTGTGCCCCCTTCTCTCCCTATTTCATACATATGTACTACGCATTTCATAACTGGCCAATCCTTAACATGATTATAAGGTGAGTTGTGGTGCTCTTTTCATTGGTTTGGGACAATCTGGGAGTAAGGTTTGTGACGTAGTAGACTTTTACATGGCCGAGAAAAAATTACAAGATAAATTGTTCTCAATTCTGTGACATTTTGGTGAACTTTAATTTGTCCTCCTTTGATCATTAATTGTAGCTTTCTATCTGTTCTTTCAGTCATAAATTGTGTACATTACATTGTCACCAATTCATCAGTGGTGTAATCTTCCATGTGTATTATATTGTTTTGATTATATTTTTGACTGAATGAATGTACTCTGTACAATCAAGAATCATTTATTTTATTTACATTTTATTTATAAACTACAATGTTATCATTTCGTGCCAAAATTCTGTGATTGTGCATTCACCTACAAAATACAAAATATTGTAACTCCCAATCATCCAATCTTTGGCCAACATATAATCATAATGTTTGTATTTGAAAGGCATCTACATGTAATGCAATTTCAGGGTGGCGAAACAAAGTATATTCTGGATGATGAAATCTTTTTGATAATGACATTTACTGCTATTTCTTAGCACAGTTTGGACGCAAGCTACGTGGGGAGTCGCTTTATTTTTTGGTACCACCAACAAATAAAGAAGCAACCTACAACACAAACAACTGTTTACTGAAAATTGACTTTGAAAATCCAATTTAAATTGCTGTCCCGAAATTGCATTGGATGCCTTCAAGTCACTGCTCTTTTACATGTACAACAAAGTTGGCACTCAGTTCTCTAGATAAGTGGGAGCATGAAAAGTTGTTTAATTGTTCTGTCCCTTCCACTCACTTGACCTTGATTTGACCTTGCAGGACTGACCACCAGTGGAAGCCCAGCACGACCACCAGGACGGGTGGAGCCACCTGGCAACCACAGATCCTGTCCACTACCACCACTACCTACATGGGGCAGCCTGGCATGGGGCCTGGGTACCCACAGATGGTGAGGGATACAGTGTTAATAATTTCCTACAAGTACCGTAGCGTACTGCCACCAGGTACAGGAGGGGCATCATCACTAGAAAGCTTGATGTAATAAACTGGTGGACGTACCAACTACATGTACTTAACACCAGCTCAGAAAAGAACAAGACATAGTCATGCCTTCAAGTACCAGAGTTATCAACCAATTGCAAGGATGGAGGTGTTCAAAAACTCATTCTTTCCTAGAACTATCGCAGAGTGGAACTGGCTGTCACCCAGTTCAGTAGGGGCATCATCACTAGATAGCCCTATGTTAAGAGTTAGATGTTCAAAGGTTACAGGTTGTAGGTGGTAAATTGTCAATGTTACGTACACAAGTGCAGGTATACAGAAAAAGGTGTTTTAAGCCCTGTATGTGTATTGTCCTTCTTAAGTGCATATCCTGTGCATTTTGTTGACGGTAATGTTCCTGGACTTGAATGAAATCAAAAGTGGGCCCAAAGAGTCACTCAAAGGACTTCCAATTCTCATGTGAACGTTTCTGTCCCTTTTTCAGATGAGTGCAGGCATGAGACCTGGTTTCCCCCCATCGTCTCCTATCAACCAACCTTATGTTGGGGTAAGGCTTAGCTTCTCACAGGTCACTACGCCCCCCCCCCCTCCCGGAACCTCAATTTCCCATCCAAGCCAGCCTAGCGGGGACCAATAGGCGGGCAGCATTTCGGCCACACCCACAACCCGCGCTTTAGCAAGATATGGTTGAAAAAGATGTTTCTCAAACTTGTTCAAAAGATACATTTGTAAATTGTTTTCTGAAATTCTGTGTCTTTGAATAGTTGGAGCAAAATAACTACCGAGCCGAGTTAAACCATTTCGGCACTGGGCCTCTTGTACTTACGTCGGCCGCGCGGCGTACAGAACAGTATCTTAGGCCAAGTCTTTGTCTGTGAAAATGTAAGAAAAGAGGCCTTGCAGTCCTGTCCTGCCGATAACCTTGTTGTCCCGATTAAACTTTGTTACCCAGGCGGTATGATCTCGAAAATATGAGTGGCAGCATCTCGATACCCTTTTTAAAGACAAGGTTTGATTTGCCGATTCCGAGTTTCCAGTGCTGACACACCAAGTGTTGACGTAACTTCGGCACTGGAGATCTAAGACGGAAGCCGCCTCAACTCTATATACCGAGTGCTGAGAAAGGAACCCGTTACTTCGGTACTTGCATTATTTTCACCCCAAATACACCAATTCTTACATTGTTTATCTGACATTTCCAACTCTGATTACCTGCCGCGCCGTACGGAAGGATGCTGTTCAACCCCATTGTCGAATGGAATCGACCGCAAAGTGGGCGTGGCGCGGAATGCTGGTCACCCATTGGTCGCCGCTAGGCTATGTGGATGCGAAATTGATGTAGGCCCCCCCTCCCCCAACTGTGACCCCTGACCTTTCACAGGACTAGTCCATTTAAACTGTCTATGAAGGGAGGACAGGATTCTTATTCTAATTTTTAGGAACCATTTTCTCCCATTTTACTTTTACCAGCTGTGACCCCTGACCTTTCACAGGACTAGTCCATTTCAACTGTCACTGAAGGGAGGACAGGATCCTTGTGATTTGTTAGGAATCATTTTCTTCCCTTTTACTTACTAGTACTTTTTTTTACACACAATTTTGTCTAGGATACAATTTCCTTTGTAGTAAACTGTACAGACACTAACCATATACATCTAGATGTAGTTGGGGTTTTTCTTTGTATTTATGACTAAGTCTTGTCTGTTTTCGTAATTTCTTTTCATTGTTTGCATAGCTTTTTTTTTTCTCAAGCCACTATCCTGGCAGAAGAGGAAATATATAATATATTATATGAGCATTTACAGCAACAACTTGTGATAATGCAATCCAAACATTAACTTAACCTTTCACCACCACCAATATGTGACGAAGGAAGGAAGACAATGATTATTAACTTAAAGAAATGGATTATTTTTTTTAGTTGCAACAATGTCACAATGAACTCTTCTTTCCTGTGTTGTCATTTCCTTGCAGTTACATGTCGCTTAATTTCTGATCCTTTTTTTCCACCAATTGACTTTCTGTTTCTTCCATTTCAATTATAGGTTCTCACGTCAGATCTGTTGATGATTTGACCATGAATATACACATTCAATTAACTGTAGCCATTTTCTAGACATACTTAATACGTGTTCCTCACACCACATTCCCTGGTATCCTTCAGATGGGACAGCCAGGCATGATGGGACAACCTAGACCAGCAGGAATGGGGTATGGCCAGCAACCAGCAACGATGGCTAGTGACCCATTTGGTGGGCCTGTCCAGCGTTCAGGGGTAAGTCTGACATTATTAACACACTAAGTTAAACATAAAAAGTCTGTGGTTCAATTCGATATAAACACAATATGAAATGCCACAAGGAATAGACAGAAGGATTCTCAGTTTAGAAATCGCTACTCAAATACATATTTTTCTTGACATCTGTCGTGACTAAAGTTGCATGTTCTTCGTGAAACTTCTATTTGATAGTTACACATTCTCGCTTCTTAACATGCAGATTTTACAACCATTCACTGCTTTTCACAGCTAAGAATGTTAACAGAAATACATTGAGAAATACATGCAGTCAAACATATTACAAGCCTTTGCTGATGACGACTACAGTCAAACCTGCCCACCTAGTCAACCTGGCTATAACAACCGCTTTTTCCTGGACCCTAGAAGTTTTTGTACCATAGGCACAAGCATTATGCAGCCTGCCTAAAAAGAAGGCCCAAGAAGACCAGTTTCCCTGAGGTGGCTTTCTTGGGCAGTTTTGACTAAACATGTACATTGTATTAGGCCACATTAAGTAAATTTTATGGATGACATCCTCCACAGACTCCAAATCTAATGCGATAGGGCAAAGGAAAACAAGGCGGGCCAAAAAAAGTCTCCTACATCTTCAAATTTTGACATCATAAACCTTGCTAAAAAAGAAAGGACACCTATTTTATGCTAAGTTTACTACCAACTATTACGACATTCATTTCTCACAGTGACTGAAACAACTTTGAAAAATAAGTTTTCAATCATTGTACAATTGGTTTGAATCAGTGGAAACATCACATGTACACAGTGACCCTCACATATAAAAGGAATGAAATACATCACTGTTACAATTTGTATCAATAAATCAGAGCCTATTCTTGTCTCCTCTCTTCATATTTATCTGCCATCGACGTTCCGGCATGGCAACAGACATTTGTGCCCATTTTTGGCATGTTTACCTCTGTCAGAGGGCAACAAAATGTCTTCCTAAGTTTTTTTTCCAAAATCAGGCAAAAATTAATGCTCCAAAACATTACTTGCTGTGGCCTTATCAATATAACAGAACGCATCTTCTCTGTCTCCTCTATACCCCTCCCTTCCCCTCTTCTCTTTCCCTGCTTGCTGCCCTTCTCCTGTGCAGGAGAAGTCCTCCAGTTTTAATGATCTGTCCCAGGTACTGACAACATGATAGTGGTTAACACTCCTTTAATTTGAGCAGAACATTGGCAGAGTTCCTGTGCAAAATCTGGAACGTTATATTTTACCAGCAGTCATGTTTCATTCGATGACTTTGTTCTAAAGCCTAGAAAATGTCCCTTGCAGGGGTCCACCCCCCAAAAAAAGCCAGGGTTGGATTTTTTTCTAGGGTCAGTCGGGAAACAGGAAACACAACAACATTTTTTCCTAGGCGTAAAGTCTTAGGCTGACGTGACTTAAAAACTGATGAGATATAACTTTTTTTTAACAATGAACAAAATTTTCATGCAACGTTGAAGAAACGTCCAACAGAATCATGGTTTCACACGTGCGCAGTATGCTCTGCCGATGTGCTCCTTTCACCTCATATTGGGCCTTAGCAACTCAGAATGGTGTATTGAATAATATTGAAGTTTTTATATTAATCAGTGGTGAAATTTGAAATTGCCATTTTTGGTGGATAAAGTACATGTAACCCTCTGCACAAGCTTAATATTTGCACCAAGGTACTAAACCTTAAACCATTTCACCCCATGTCATCCCATTTTATGTGTGCGTTTTTATGTCCTGCACCATCCATCCATAAGTTTTGTGACTTCTCTGTCTTCCATCTAAAATAACAGCCATTTAACCTGTATTTTACACTGTTTTAAACTACACAATGTCATGCACATTTAGCACTGTCACTGTCAGATGATGGCATATTAACCATTCTTCCAGAAAAGCTTAGAAATTCTCTCTGATATTGATATGTTCATTTGATTATATGGATGACATCCTAGGCCTCTGGGAACCCAAAACTGATGCGAGCGAGCAAATAAAAAAAATTTGGAAAAAAAAAGTTGCTTTTATTATGAAATATCATGAAATTGTAAAAAGTCGAACAAATTTATTATTGTTATGATGAATAATAGACTCTTCATTTTCATTCCTTCAAATTGTCTTCTTGCCCCTTGGAATGGAATTTGGCATTCTGCGACATAAGAATTTCCTATTTATTTGCTCATATTTTGCAGGTACTTTGTACGATTTACAATATGGTCGAAAACTATTTTTTTGAAACTAACCAAAATTCATGCACGCGCAGATGTCATCCATACATGTGTATAATCGAATCAACATGGCCTTACTACCATTTCGTAGCACATGTATATGTATATGTACATGTATATGGTTGAAAATTATAAACTAAGTCTTTGCCTCTTTTCACAGTTGCAGTTCTGAAGACAATTGATTCCCTACATCTCTCAACTACAATGGCATCACCTAATAAATAATAGTGAAAGAGAGACACACTATGTGGCATGATGATACGACTTAGTTTCCGTAGGAACTCCAGGTTTCTACCAAAGACTGAGAAGAAAGAAAGAAATTATGTACAAATAGCATCAAGAAAATCCTACATGCCAGTTCAACCTTCGTCATGACCAAGATAGGAACACCATGTTTCAGTGGTGTATAGGGCAACTGGTCTATGTACCATCAGCAATGGTGATCGTATGAAAACAGGCTGATGGTGGTACTACTACTGTACTGTACAACGATCGCTGGTACCACCATATGATTGCAATGTTTTACTCACAAGGTAATCAACCAAAATAAAATACTCTTTCGTATGATAACCATTGCTGGTGGTAAATGAATCTGCTGTACAGGAATGGTCATAAAAAAGGTCAAAAGATCACATTAGAAAAGTTCATATGCTAAATCAAAATAGGTTAAAGGTTACAGGTCGTGTTGGGTCAAAGGTTATGATTGGGTCAATAGGTTTGCAACAGAAGAATTATGATAATTGGTCAATATTAAAGAAGTGTTCATTATGCAACAGACTATGATGGGTAAAGGGTTACAGTTGAAGTGGTGAGTTGGAACAATACTTTGAGAAAAATGTCTGTTTTACTCCAGTTCTGAGAATGAATTAATGAATTCCCTCCCACACACCGTACGATAGGTGTCTATATTGGCCATGATTTGGGTTAAGTGTAACATGTATATTGTGATGTAGGCATGATATTTCCAATGGCTGTGTGTGAGAGTAAGGGGAAACCGTCGGGTGGAGACAATGTAAATAAAACATTTTACGAATGACAGACAGCTCACAAACGGAGAAATTTGCATAGACCGTGAAGAGACAACAGTGTACGTGCAAGTGTCGCTTGTCTTGTTTGTGTTACACAGAAGCCTACACCAACACCACAGCCTAGCAGCAACTAGGAATAGAAACAAAATATGGAAGCTTTTTAGTTACACGATCGTATTAAATGGTGCTTCCACGAACGCTTGACTTTGATTTTCCATACCCTCAGTATATAAGTAATTAAAATGATAAACTTGGAATAATTTTGCAAAGATCCATGTATCATATTGGGTTAGTAATAGTATAGGTTGATACCAAATTTTTGAAATGTTAGGTTTGTGTAGTTAATATGGAATTAGAGTTTCTGCATGGTACATTTTGGTCTGGTGCCAAGTGGGGCATTGATGTGCTCTGTTATTATAACTTACTTTTTAGGTACACTACAGCGTGGCCTGTGGTGTATTAAAATTTCCTTATTTTGTAGTCACAATGTGTTAAATGATCATAAGCGGATAATTATTTTTCACTTCATAATCCTTCATACATTAGGCCACACTAAATTAATCCGTTGGTTCTCATTTTTACCCACTTCACCTTTTTCTGATTTGCCAGGAAAAAAAAGGTTTCAGGTTCTGAATCAACTTCAAAGTGCTCATATTTAGTCCCCAACAGTTGAAGAAAGTCCTTGCCTTTCTAACTTTGTTACAATTTTTCCATCTTCCAAATGTAGTTCATTGTTTGACTTATAAACCAACCTGGGATGTTGACTTCACGGTTTCTATTGTAGCACGTGGCCTATTAAAAGATACCTAGGCCTGATTTTTTTTTTGCTGTCGCTTCATATTTCTTATGATAAAAACTTGAACCTTCAAATTAAATTGGTGTGGCCTTAGTTTCTTTTGACAATCAGCCTACTGTGAATAAAATTGGAATGATCCTTTCCATGGAATGTCTACCTTTGGCAAGCAATACTACAAGGTAACAGGGAAGCAATTCTAAATTTCCAAGTCTTTGCTAGTTGGTGTTTCGTAGAGCACTCAGTATTGGACGGTTGTAAAATAATTCTATGTTGCCTGTAGGATGAAATACAAAATTCAAGGAAAGGTGTAGGTAACCATCACTTAACGTCTAGCTTGTTAAAATAGATTTCAGGACGCCACGCTACTTAAACTTAAAGCTTGATCTATGCATAAAACTTTCAACAAGTCACATTTTATTTCAAATCGGTACAATGTATGTGAGCTGCTTATACTGCATATTGAAGCTGTCTTATTTGAAAGCAACATGGTCATTGCAACAGACGGTCAATGGGAAAATGACTGCCATTCAAATGGGCTTCTCAATGTATACTAATGCTAACATGGAAAAATGCAGTTTTTTTCAGTAGAAATTCAACTGGATTTCCAGCTCTTGTCAATGCTCGTACTGCCTTGTGAAGGCGTTGTTGTCTAAAGGGAGGCTTTCCCTTCGATGTACGTACCATGTTCTACACAACAGTCATTTCAGCACCTTAGAAAGCACCCATGCATTGTGGTCAGAAAGAAAAAAAAATTTGCTGCCTGGATACATCCGTTGTCGTAGGTTACAGAATTCCAACTGAATACTACAGACGTTTGGTGTATGCAATATTGGCATGTTACCCTTGTATGAACGATTCTAAAAACTGTAGAATAGCTGTAAAATTTATCCTACATGTAGTCATGTAGAAAGTTACATATTGTGAGGAAAGGGGTAGGGGCACTGGTGTGCATTTGAACCCGATTCGTCCATTCATGATACCATATAACTTGTGATTATGTAACACTAGTAATGAAATTCCTACTAGAGTATGTCATGAAATTGTTCCTGATTTTCTAGCCCAGCTTGAGAGTATTATTATTATTATTATGAACTATAAGAGATGATGAAACCTAGACGATCGTTGGGCATTGAGTATATGTAGGCACTATTGCCATAAAAATGGATTCCGAAGATGTTTTGAGCACTGAGCCTATTACAAACAGATGATTTTGAGTGATTGAGTTATGGATTATTTCCTTTTAGGCCACATCCCTGATGTAATGTTCTCGCTTTGGGAATAAATGAATTTGTATTCCAGTGTCCCCGAGTCTCTTCATTTTGTAGTCGTCCCTATTTATGGCCGGCGGTAGAAGTTACACATAACGCTGAGTACTGCCACCTTGCGAGACTTTCAATAACTTCAAGGTGATGTGGTAATACCACTAAGGCCGCAGCAATTAAATTTTATGGATGACGTCCTCCGCAGACTCAAAATCTAATGCGATAGGGCGAAAATAAGGAGGGTCAAGAAAAAAGATTCCTACATTTTCAAATTTTGACATCATAAACTTTGTTAAAACAAGGCCACGGTTGGCTGGTGTTCGGGAGTAGGTCGGCAGTGGTTGGGAGTCAAATGTCTTGTCAGACTGCTTCCAAATTTCAGCCAATCTTGGTTGGTGGTCGGGGAAAGATTCTGAATGTATGATATATAGACCCAAGGGGTTCACTTCCAAATCTTTATTTCTCGCACATTCATTTGCCCAATACACATCAAAAACGGTATGAAATGTTTTTTTTTGTTACTATGGTACATTTCATTACGTTACAAATACATTACATTACAGCATCATTTTCCTTAAAACCGTACGCGGCAACAGAAAAGTTAACTGTACACGAGGCAATGTTAGATAATCCAGATCAGTACTTTACCCAAATGGACCTTAGTATATACAGTTTTACAAAGAAATTTGATAAACATATCAAATAACCCTTTACTCCTAAACACGCGAATATTATCGTCGCCGCTCACATATCTCGACGATACACATTACATTACACACAAGGCAGCAGTGCAGACGTTTTGCTGTTAAAGTTCTCATAACATCTTCATTTTTAAAAAAGGCATCCAGTGCAACTTTGTTAAGGTTTGGAAACCAGATTTTTCAAAGTCAATATTCTAGACACTTATCAACATTACATACTAAGCTGAAACAACACTCTCCCAATATATATATATCGACATTCATGGAGCAAAAATCTGAAGAAAAACGATTACTGGAAGTATCTGGATTGATTTTTAGCCTACCGCCCAGAAAAGAAAAGATTAATCTTGGGGCTTAAGCTTGTTTCTGCAGTTTTAAATACCTTAAGTACGAAATACTGATTCTAATGTGTATGCACATTAGAATGTGTGCGGGACATCATGTGTCAATGTCATACAGATTGCCTTTTTCAGAATATTTCCAGTTTTGCCGCCCTGATATTGCACTGGATGCCTTTAAGAGCTTTTGACCCATGCAAAAACGCACTTTCTGGTTGTTTGAACAATAAATTACCCTGCGTACAATATTAGACTAACCATGACATGTAATAGACGATATCTGTTACTAATAGCCCCCCTCTCTCCCTCTTATCTTATATCTTGCACTTGAGGACGTGCCCCGTTACTTACACCGCACGTTCACTGATACACTGGGCGTTCCGGACTACTAATTTGCTGTTGAATACCAAAGAATCCCAACTCTGAACACCCATAGACAGAGCACGCATAAACGACACAGTTTATGATAAAAGTGATGTACAACGTCGAGCGACCACATGCAACTGTAGAACACAGTACGTAGTTGCCACGGTACTACCAAAGCCCAAATCGACAATGTGACTGCAAAATGTAAATTTCTCCAGGATATTTCCAACTCTTCAACTGCCATTTCCAACCGTACGTTCCACATCCATTTCCAACCGTACTTTCCACAACCATTTCCGAACGTTTCACAACCATGGTACCATTTCCAACCGCTCCCAGACAGGATTCTAACATCACTTTAAAATCTAGGATAATATGGATGCTGAACGGTTGAAAGTGGTAGTGGAATTATTGAAATGGCCTGGAGAAGCTTTATCCCATTGTCGATTTGGGATTTGGTACGTTAGGCCAAAGCAAGTAAATTCTATGGATGACATCCTCCGTAGACTCCAAATCTAATGCGATAGAGCGGAAAAAACAAGGCGGGCCAAAAGAAACAAGACTCCTAAATTTTCATATTTTCAAATCATAAACCTTGTTAAACAAAAAATGATGCCTATATTGTGCTTAGTTTAATGCCAACTATATTACAACATTCATTGTCACCGAATAAAAGTTTTCAATCATTGTACACATGGTTTTGATTCAGTGGGAACATCACAAATAGAAGGAATGAAATGCATCACTGCATAACAATAAATCAGATCCTTGTCTTGTCTCCTCTCTTCAAATTTATCTGCCATCCACATTTCGGCATGGCAACAAGACATCTTTGCCCATTTTCGGCGTGTTGACCACTGTCAGGGGCAACAAAATGTCTTGTTTTTGTTTTCAAACTCAGACGAAAATGTCATCCATATAAATTACTTCCTGTGGCCTTACAGATCAACTCCGCAAAATCACAAGCTGTCTGCCTGGATCTCATTCAGCATGTTCTCGGCCTGGTGGTTGTTCCCCGCCCGGTGGTGACTGCGCGCGGCTCCGCTAGCCCCTCCCTGTCTCTTCCACGGGCCCTTCTTGTCCCTGGGTGGATGCGGCGGGGCCTCCACCTCAACCTATTGGATTCATATGTGTAAACAACTCGTTTTTTTGGCTACGATCATAGCTTATCATCGATATCAACATTGTTTCACAATTCTGTACGTAAATATTCCTGCTTATGCACATGCAAAAGCATTTAAAGACAATCGGCAATTTCTTATCAGACAGCTTGCGTTTCTACAGATCCCGTTTTAAGATTTTTTAAAAGTCATTTCTGAAGTAGGTATAGCCTGGTGTCCAGTCTACCCTCTTTTGGGCAGGCTCTCTTCGGGCCGGTAGTTTTCAGCCGTCCGGATTAGGATCCCCGGTAGACGTTTTGCACAACCAAAGACCGAGAGCCTAGTTGAGCTAGGCGGCAGAGAACTACTACAGGACCGAAGAGAGTCTGCTCAAATCGCGGTAGATTAGACACCAGGCTGAATTGCTTACCGCCACAGACACGCTGCCTTCCTCCTGTATGCTGGCTGACAGACGGGGGTCTTGACCGTCCGGCCGCTGCCGCTCCACGGTGGAGTAAGGCGGGAGGGTGTTGGAGTGAGCCAGGCCTGTGGAAACCCGTAAAAGTACACTTAAAAGTGTTACATCATTTGGTGGCTACAAGGCAGAATCAAATTGACAAGACAGTATCAAATTGGCAGAGCAGTATCCAGTTTGGCTGGCGTAAAAAAGAGATACCAATACAATAACGAAAGATAAAAACGCCCAAAACACGTAAAAAAAACAGAAGCCTAGACATCTGGTTGTAGACTGGGCAATGCAGACTTCCAGGAAACTTTGACCCGTTACAGATGTTACGAGGCAAACGTGAAGCAACATTGATTAGTACTGCTAATGGCGTCTAATGGCATCAACTGCTTTACATATATCAAACATGGTGTGTCCTACGTGGATATGAGAGTCCTATGGAGGTCCAGTCCTTGTCCACTCTTGGCGGAGGCCGTGGTTTGAGCGTGCCGTCCATCTCCTGCAGTTCCAGATCCTCCACACCGGAGTCGTTCGTGCCATGGCCGGGTTTACGCCCGTACTTCGGCAGGGGTGGTACCGGTCGTGAAGGGGTCAGAGCTGGGGTGGCTAGAAACACGATGTTGTGATACTATCTAGATGATATTCTTAAAGGCACCCAAAGCGATTTTAGGTCAGTAAAACTGGCTTTTCAAAGTAAATTTTGTATCATTTTTTAATGTAGTAAGTGCGATCTTGGAGGCAAAAATGTGATGCTCTGACGGAAAACGATTGTTTCATATCGTAGGCTGCTTCTAGTTATTAATTCGTGGTACCAAAACAAAAGGACTCTTCTCGTAGCTTATTATGGGATATTGAAAACGTATCACGTTTGGAGCGAGATTAAAATGGGATATATGAAGGCGGTGAATCTCAAGTTCAGACAGATTTCCTCATCTAGAATATTTTCTTTGTTTTGCCGCTCTGAAATTGCATTGGGCCGGTTACGGTCTTTCAATGTAATATTATGTTTACATTGTTATGACGCTTATACGGTAATGAACCGACAAGGTACAGAATGACTACACTTACTAGGCTTCTCATCTGCACAAAGCAGTCCCTTTCTTTTGGCGACGAAGACTCCGATGACGGTCACTGCCGCAAGAATCACCACCACAGCGGAGATGGAGATAATGGCGATTACTGACGACGTCGACTCTGCAAAGTTAAGAATTTTTTTCTTAGATATTGTTATGCAACTACGTATACAGCAAAGACATAAGCGGCCAAACCTGCTGAAGCCGGCCACCCAGGGGACCTGAAAAAAATGGTCGGGTTGGACAGGTGGTCTGCTTGAAGAGCTAGGGTCGATTCTTCCGTCTCACAAATTAAGGCAAACGTAAATCCATCTTAAATCATACGTTTTCAGGGATTGAAAGGTAAAACAAGAAATGCTGTATTTTTCTATAAAACAAATCTGGCGGGGGCCAAAATGAAGATAGCTGGTTATGTGGCGTGAGTGTGATGATGACGTGGGACTCAAATAGTTGGTCAGCTTATGACTAGAACTGGACTAATGCTAACGCCAGGGATGAAAACGTAATATATGATTAGTTAGAAACAGGAATGCTAGACAGGCCTGACGCACAGAACGGGCATAACAATAGGCATGATCGGCCATTATGCAAATGCAAATGACCCAACCACGTGATACACAGGTACAGCCGGGGAAAAAAATCAACCGGCATGTCCACAGTTTCAAACCGGGCCTATCCGGAAGCATGACGCTGCTTCTTACGACACTAGTATGTTATTTTTGTCAACTAAACAGCATAGGTTCAATGCTGATCGTACCTTTAACAATCAGTCGGACCTCCCGCTGATCAGAACCAAACATGTTCGCCGCTTTGCAGATGTAGATTCCTGCATCGTCGCCAGTGACGTGATCTATGGACAAGGTGGCCGTCTTGGATTCTCCCAGCTTCTTCTCCGTCATGGTGATGCCGTTGTTGGTCTCCAGCAGGACACTCTCCACGCCGTTGTTGTTTCTCCACAGCCAGTCGATGGTCTTGGGGAGGGGGTCGCTCATGACGTCACAGTAAAACTTGGCGATGTCGCCCTGGTTGACGTACACCTGTGACGTCCGAGCCTCGATGTGCGGCTTTCCTGAAGAGAGCAACGTAAGTCATTATATATATATGGTCAGACAGAAGTCTAAATCCCTCCTGCTATGAAATTGCAACATGATGTAGCGCAACACTAGTGACCATGGCAACAGACACAACATTGGTTCAGGTCAGATGTAACCATTTGGAGAAGAAGAAGAGGAAACTGAGCAAAACAATATGTTTTCCTTCGGTAAACATAATGAGATTTGGAAGGAGGCCATCTACATCACATCATGCAACCCTCTCTCAACCGGGACGGGGGGTGGTACCGACTTCCGACGAACTTTGACCCAGTGCTCACGTCACACGTGCGGGAAAAATCACGTGTCTACAGCTCTTGGGTCAGCTAGCTGGCGAAGATCGAGAGATTCTTTCGTATACTCCAGTGAGTAATTTTTTTTTAATTATCATTTGGAGAACAGTGTACTTTTCATTGAGATTTGGAGCGCATTAGATACAGGAAATATCTTTTTTCTCTCTTAGTATACTTACCCTGTCTATATCAAAGTTGGTGGGTAGGGTATACGTAAAAACAGCATTAATTAGCGTCAACTATAGGTATACCAAATTGGCACGTGCATATAGCAGGATCTTTCAAGTGTCATTGCCAGGGCATGCATATTTGGCCATATGGGTTTTTAGGCTTACCGGCGACGTCAATCGCAACATCTTTAGTCACATCAGGGAAACCGTCACTATGGGCGACACATTGATACATCCCCTCCACGTCGTAACGCACCCGGTGGAACCGAAGCGGGTTTTCCCAGTACAAACTTGTATCCTTCCGCCGCCAGCGGATGTGAGGTTTGGGGTTTCCGTCCGCGAAACAGCTCAGGGAGAAATCATCATCTCCGTAGATAACCGTCACTTTGTTGTCCAACGTCGAGTCAATCTGTGGTGGGTCTAATTTTTAAAAAGTGAAATGAAACTTGTTAATAAAAGAGCAAAAGGCCAGTGCTGAACAGATTTTTTAAAATCTTTTTTACGTTTTTTTCCAATGAAGGATGTATCGAAATCGCAGTAACTGTTGACTACGTAATATAAATTCTAGGTAGTAGTATAAATGACAAAGGTTATGATACATATACGTAATGTCCAAGCAGATTCTTGGTGCCTGCAAGTTACTATCAAATTGCCAAGACATCATCAAATTGGCATGGTGGTATCCATTTACCAAGTGTTTTTTTGTGGGGGGGGGAGGTCAAGACAGTATCAAATTGGCAAATCAGTATACAATTACTATGCTGGAAAGAAGAACAAAAGAAAGAAAGAAACAAAATCGTGTAATTAATATAATAAAGCACGTCGAAAATACGCCGAAATCCAAACCTCTACTAAAAGTGTAACATGTACGTACAGAAAACTTCCAGGCGAATTGAACCGATGCCAATCGGTAAGATCCTGTTATCAGCCTTGCACTGGTACGCGCCGCTGTCGTACTTAGACACCTTCAGCAGCTGGAGACTCCGCTCTCTGTAACAATAAACATTTTTTTTTTCATTTTCAGTTATTCTTTAATTTATATCAGGAGCAACATTACACATTTAAAGCATGCAGGCTTAGAAATATACAAAAGGACATACAAACAGCAATAGATATTAGCTGCATAATAAACCATAATAGGCGTTACGGAAAACGAGTTTCTGCAGTTTATAGAAGAGAGTAATCTGTTTAAAAAGAATAACATATCCTCCTTCGCCTTTAACCTGGTTTCCAGACTTATCTGTACACCTGGGGTCCGCGCGGACCCCAGAGCAGTTTTTTGCTAATTTTTAGAAATTATCAACATGCTACCAGCTCAATTGTTTTGCAAATTGATGTGGGAACCTCTGTGTCCACATTACATACAAAAATCATACATTTTGAACTTTTTCTATTTTTTTGGTGAAGAAAAGAAGACAAGAAGAAATACCCGATTTTTAAACCCATTTCAGAATGAAGGGGCTTTTGAGGCCCAACTTTGATCTCAGATAGCGGCTAAACGGCTTGCGCTAGAAGTATCAAATTTGGAGACCTTTCCTAAAATGTCTCTGGAAAAAAGTTCATATTAGTTTGATACTAGTAAGTTGATGTTTTTTTGTGTTGCCATGGCAACGGGTTTCTATTTTTCAAAATAGAAGTAATTTTGGTTTAAACATAAAAATTTTCTGAGTTTTATATTAAATTGAACTTCTTTTCCAACATTAATAACATCTTACATAATTAAATATAAGTTAAATCATTTAATATGCATAGAATATGCTAATTTGATGACGTCATTGGTCAAAATTCAATATGGCGGACTATATTATTAGCTCTGACGTCATATGACGTCATAATTACACCAAAGTTATTAAAATTTAATTCTATTACTACACCATTCTCTGAAAACTTGGTAGACATAAGATGAGTGCATAAAAACATATAAAAACGGAAATAAGGTAATGTATAAGAACGCCAGTGTATCCATTATGATCGAAAGCCGGCTGGGGTCCGCGCGGACCCCAAAAGAAAATCAGATATAATTTTTTTTATAAATGGTAGAAACGGAGTTTTCTGTACTGTATTGAGAGACAACTTTGTGGGTGACAATTACCTAAAATTTCAGAAAAAAATCTTTAGAAACAAAAAAGATACTACAGAATATATAGTGCTGGGGTCCGCGCGGACCCCAGGTGTACTGTTTAGGGTTAAAGCGATATTATATAAGATTTCACTATTTTAAACATCGTTGTTTTTTAAACATTTTCTTGTGCTATAAGCCTACCTGGGTCCATAATGACATGTTAAGCGAAATAGCGACGCTAATAAGGTTCAAAGTTATTAAAAATGACAATCTAGATGGGAAAATTTCACTTATTCATATTGAACAGTTTTGGTGCAAAAATCTTACATAATATCGCTTTAAACAAGTGTTTTTTCATGAAAAAGTTTGCTATTCAAGAAAATGTTTAGAAAGCTGGTCAAGATCACCTCTGTATACTCTGCCTGGGCAGGTTATCTCCCAGTTTCATCCACGTCACAGTTGCTTTAGGGTTGGCGTCGACGTAGCACGTCAGGTTTACCGACTGGCCCTCTCTGGCGTGGATGGACGGGGACGGGACAGACACCATCGGCGGATCTAAAAATATAATCAGGCCACAGCAAGTACATTTTACAGATGACATCCTCCGCAGATTCCAAATCGAATGCGATAGGGCAAAGAAAAAAACAAGGCGGGCCAAGAAAAAAGCAAGATTTTTATATTTTCAAATTTTGAGATCGTAATCCTTGTTTTAACATAGTTAAATACACACACACACACACACACACACACACACACACACACACACACACACAAACACACAAACACAAACATACACACTAGGAATGTACGTAATTGCTTACAATGGATCCGCAGCGTCCTTGAAGCAGATCGTGGCTTGACAATATCAGGAAACCCCTGGTCGGCAACACAGGTGAAGTTGGCGCCGTCGTCCCACTTGGAGACCCGCGCCGTGAACAGCTCTAGCGTGACGGTTCCTCCCTCGTCGTTACGGCGCGTCTTTTGTGAACCGAACTGGTGGGTACCGTTGTACCAGGTGAGCCGAGGCGGAGGATAGCCGCCTCGCGACCGGCAGCGGAGCAGCAGTTTGTCTCCCGCCGTTAGGGGGAGCTCTGCGCCGGTGATGTCGGGGGGACCAACCATTGGCACTAGAGGGGGGCAGAACGTATCATAGTGAATTTCAGTGCAACACCTCAATCATTGACTTGTCTTACACCCCGCTATACAGAAAAAAACATTTATATATTATTATCAAGTATTAAACCAGCGACAACGGTCACATTTTCTTTGCTTAAAGTTGCATTAGGAGGATACTACACGTAATTTTCTGGTAATTTCTTTACAAAGTTTCTTTACAAGTTTTAGCAACCCTATACCATTGCAAATAATTGCCGTTCAGGAGGTGGAGATGCCAAAATGTTACACCTTATGAGTGTGTTTAAAAGCCGGAAACAACACGGTTTGTATTCTGGTAATCTATTGTGGTACCACAAACATTGCGCCTTAATTACGTAGGGTGTTTTGGCACCAAGCATAAATGTCAAAAATGTGAGATAATTGCACAAAAATGTTGAAAAGTGGACATAAATTGCAATTTTTACCATTAAGGTGCAAACATTTGCGCTACAACACAAAAAAATCCAGATATTGAATACTGAATAACCACATACCGACGACAGTAAGAGTAGCATGTGCCTCCGCGCTCACACTGGGGGTAGAACATCTGTAGTCACCCGAGTCCTCTACCCGCACATCCCTAATCTGCAAGTTGTAGTCCCCGCGAGTTGGGTCTCCCACTATCTTATGACGCTTGTAGGAAACGTAAGTCTCTCTTCCCGTTGCTATGATGCTGCCATCAGGTGGTCCCTCCCAGTTGACGACGCTCGTGCTACTCAGACCGTTGAACGCGCAGACGAGAGTTACTGTGTCCCCCTGCATGGCGACTTTAGACTCCGGCCGTCTTCTGTAGAACGCACCCTCAACTACACAAAGAAATGACATTCAATATTAAAGGGCAAATAAAGTAATTTCAGTTTTGGTGCCTTTCAACCCAAAATCCTATTTGCAAAAGGTGATCCATTGGTTTCTACTTGTCCCGCACACATAGGGGTGATATTTGACTAAAATCCATGTCCAAGTTTGATGCCTGCCTATTCCACAAGGAGGCTGCGGTGACGTAATGGGTCCTCTTAATCTAATTAACTGGTTATGAAATCACTACTCTGTTAACATAAGATGAATAGATAATGGTGATCATGATACATAATAAATGCTTGTGGAATAAAGTTTATAGCCTGTCAACTCGGTATATTTCAGAAACAACAAAAATCTTTGAACATAAGCGTTGTAGGCAAAAGAATCGAAAGATGATGACTAATTGCAGCTATACGTCACCGTAGTTAAAATTTCCCTGGCATCATATAACCATATTATTACTAACTTAATATCACTTATGCTAGGAACACAAGATGTGATTGAACTTAATTCCCATGCACATAGCACGCTCAATCCTCCATCTAGAGTTACAAGTCTCAGTGATTCTCAAATTAATGTCTTTAATTCGTATGTAGACTGTGTAATGGGTGTAAGCAAAGCGGCAGAGCAGGGTGGTCTTATCATTTTTACTCCGTACGTCATAAATAATATTCAATGGGCCTTCATGTCCATATAATCATAAACATCTCCAAAATCTCAGTGATTCTCGAATTAATGTCTTTAATTCGTATGTTGACTGTGTAATGGGTGTAAGTAAAGCCGTCGACCAGAGGTCTTTATCATTTTTGCTCCGTACGCCATAAATAATATTCAATGGACCTTCATGTCCATATAATCATAAACATCTCTAAAGTCTCAGTGATTCTCAAATGAATGTCTTTAATTCATATGTAGACTGTGTAATGTGTGTAAGCAAAGAAGTAGAGCATGTTGGTCTTTATCATTTTTGCTCCGTACGCCAGAAATAATATTCAATGGGCCTTCATGTCCATATAATCATAAACATCTCCAAAGTCTCAGTGATTCTTAAATTAATGTCTTTAATTCCTATGTAGACTGTGTAATGTGTGTAAGTAAAGCAGTAGAGCAGGTTGGTCTTATCATTTTTACTCCGTACGCCATAAATAATATTCAATGGGCCTTCGTGTCCATATAATCATAAACATCTCCAAAGTCTCAGTGATTCTCAAATTAATGTCTTTAATTCGTATGTAGACTGTGTAATGTGTGTAGGCAAAGCAGCAAAGCGTTGTGGTCTTCATCATTTTTGCTCAGTACGTCATAAATAATATTCAATATGAGCCTTTAGCTTCATGTCCATATAATCATAAACATCTCCAAAGTCTCAGTGATTCTCAAATTTAATGTCTTTAATTCTCATGTAGACTGTGTAATGTTTGTTGGCAAAGCAGGGTAGTCTTTATAATTTTTGCTTCGTACGCTATAAATAATATTCAATGGGCTTTCATGTCCATATAATCATGAATATCTCCTAAGTTTCAGTGATTCTCAAATTAATGTCTTTTCTTCGTATTTAGACTGTGCAAAGCAGCAGAGCAGGCTGGTCTTTCTCATTTTTAGTCAGTACGCCATAAATAATATTCAATGGGCCTTCCTGTCCATATAATCATAAACATCTCGAAACGTAACAACGGGCGAAATGGATGACTGCAAGCTTCTTTAGCGATATCCAGCAAACCAGATCAGGTATCGGCGCCTCTAATGACAACGTTTTATGGATCCCCACACCGCACTTATTTGACGTTACGCAACGATTGCGGCGTGAAGAACTCCATTAACGTAATCTCCCACGCTTCGATTCAACCTCACTTATACCGGGATATATTGATTTATAGTTTTCTTACCGGCATCTCTCGCTTGTAGTACTTCTAGAATATTGAATAAGCTGTCTGAAAGAAACTCACATTGTACTTGTCATGTATGCTGGTAGCAATCCAACCAAAGAAAGTGGATTTTCAAAGTCAGTTTTCTGATATTTTTTTTCAAATGAACTAAGTTAAAATAGAAACTTTCGCAAAGCACATGCATGATGTTTACATTCGCATAATCTGCTCTGTCAATTCTTACTCAAACACATTCATATATATGGTGACAGGAGTCTAAATCTCTCCTGCTATAAAATTGCAACATTATGTAACCCAACACTAGTTACCAAGGTGATAGACGTCTGGCCCAGGTCATTCACCTTATGTGTTTGGAGAATAGGAAACTGGGCAAAACTTATGTTTTTCTTCGGTAAACATAATTAGAATTAAATCAACATTAATACTGTCCAATAGCATACTGATATCTGTGGGATACAATTTCGATGTCGCTGAAGGAAAACGGTATTTCTTTCGTATCGTAGGTACAATCTCCTTATTGATTGTACCTAGAATAATTGGACTCCTGGCGTATCTTGTTGTAAGGCTATCTGAAACGCTTCAAGTATGAAATGATAACACAAAATGTACAGTAAATGTCAATATCAGACAACCTCATCCAAAGGCCGTTTGAAGCCTCATCCTCAATCAGCATTTTTTTTTCAAGAATATTTTTTTATTCAGTATAATTTTTTTAAAGGCGATTTTAGAGCAGCAAAACTGGGAATATTCTGAATAGGGCAACCTGTGTGATATTGACTCATACAGCCCCACAATACCACATTTGAGTCAATATTTCATACTTTGGGCATTTAAAACTGCAGAAACAAGCCCCAAGATGGGTCCTTTATTTTCTGAGTGGTACCCTAAGTTTGGCCCAGGACCCTTCCAGTAACCGTTTTCCGTCGGAATGTTTGGAATTTTTGCTTCATAACGGTCAAAATACATCGGGACAGTGTAGTTTCAACTCACTATGTAGATAAATGACTAGAATATTGGCTTTCAAAAATCAGGTTTTCAAGCCCTATAGATAAAAACTGCATTGGATGCCTTTAAAGTAATTTAAATGGAAACTCATTTATTTACGAAATTAAATCCTTCACCATTATAATTGAGAAGAGTCAATTCCCAGTCTAAATGACCGCGTTGGTCCATCGATTCTGCCCATGAAATCTAAACCTTCAATTAAGAGCCAACAGAAAACATTTTACAGATGCACGAGGGGTTGAGAACATCGATCCTTGGACACATGTGTAATTATGGACCGGTTGACCCGTCTGATTGTAACGGAGCTCCGCCGATAAAGGGTAGATTAGGTATGACCTATTGACGGATCCCGTCAGAAAATGGTACGAAAGCATTCTCTACACGTCTGGCATACGACCTAAAAGCAAGACAACATTATCGAGATTAAGATTAAAGCCTCTGTCATTCATTCAGAACCTTCCCCCGAACACCAGCCGACCAAGGTTGGCTGAAGCCCCTGTCACACATTCAGAACCTTCCCCCGAACACCAGCCGACCAAGGTTGGCTGAAGTCCCTGTCACACATTCAGAACCTTCCCCCGAACACCAGCCGACCAAGGTTGGCTGAAGCCCCTGTCACACATTCAGAACCTTCCCCCGAACACCAGCCGACCAAGGTTGGCTGAAGCCTGGGAGCAGTCTGACCAGATTTAGGCCATGTCTATCTTTCTATACGAATCGAATTTGAGTTAAATTTGAGTCTCCGCCAAACACCCCCGACCTACTCCCGATCACCAACCAACCATCGGCCGACAGCCAACTGTTGCCGAACGTCCCTTCAACACCCGACGGTTTTAATTTCGTTTTTAATATGTGTGGATAAAGAAAGATTTGTTGTTGTTTTTTTTAATTAAAAAAAACACTGTTTTTTTTAAATTAAAAAAAAACTAGTTTTTATACGCAGAAAAATTGTGTCTCATAGGTTTGAGCAACAAGCATAAATGATGCATTTTGCAAGAGTAGAATTATTCACCTTGGATTATGAGAGGAGTCCTCAGAGGGACGGAAGAACCTTGAGAAAATAGAATTTCCAGCCTGCCCTAGGTTCACTTATTTACAGGTAGATTTGAAGGGAATTAAAAGGTCCCGAACCCTTGATCCGAAAAGTCTAGTAGCGATGTGAGCTGACTTTATAATGCTGCGAACAACCGTCGGTCGGTGCCCTTACATGTTATATACCTGAATATAGTTAACACTGCGCAATCAACGACACTGATTTCATCATTTCTGGTAAGATAAGATTAGAAGTGTGATACAAATTAATGTATTATTCCCATATACCTTGTAGTCAGCTTTTCACTGCGATAGTTTGCCATACGACTAGCCAGGATTTTATCAATTCAAGTCAAGCCTTACCTAGCACAACTAAAGTATACGCCCAAATTGTAAGGGCAATGCTAAATTTTAACTCTCAGAGAACCATCTCCTAGATTTATGTGACGTACTTAAAGTGTAATTTCATGGTGGTGGCAAAGCTGGACTTTCAAAGTCAATTTTCTAGTCATTCTTCAAATGTAGTAAGTTAAGTCAACCCTATCCAGTAGCATACTATTATCTGTCGCTAACAGAAAACGATTCCTTAATTGTTTCGTATCAAGTACTGATTTTAGCTATTTCTGGGCGGTACCAAAAAATAAAGAGACGCCCAACGTAGCTTGTTTTGGGGCTATTTCAAATGCATCAATTATAAAATGATTACAAAGATGTGCTATGCGAAATGAAAGTAAATGTCAATATCAGACAGATTTCCAAATCCAGAATACTTTAATTTCATTTAGTTTTGCCGCCATGATATTACATCGGGTGCCTTTTAAAAATCATCATTAAAATGATGCTGAGTGTGTGTGTCAGCTATTCCCAGTCCATATGACATGTCAACATTCAACACTCTCTACAGACGGTTCCCCCCTGGATAACCGGAACGACATAAGGAGAGGATTTCCTGTTTCAGCGCGTTAGCGTCCCCATCGTAAGTAGGACGGTCAAAATGTCACATTCGCTATGGATTCTTCCAAACCGCCAGAGGTTTATCGATAATAACGTTTCCCATTTCCGAGCCACTCTTGGTATCTGGCCCC